AACCTACTCAACCGACACCTCCCTTATTAAAACTGATGGATTACCTGAGAACAGAAATGCAAAGGGAACCTCATAGGTATGGTAACCTTAAACCTGCAAAAGGCCTTCGATACTGTCAACCACCATATATAATGTAAAAACTTCAAGCTATCGATAAAGGGTTTTGTAGACTGGTTTTTAAGGGCCCTACCTTAGCAACAGGAGACAAATAGTCAAGATCAACAAAACGGAATCAAAAACCCCTGCCGATAACATGTGGAGTTCCCCAAGGTATATTCTGAGTCCCTTATTATTCTTATGTTATGTTTAATGACATGCTATTTAGTGTCAAGTGCAAACTCCTACTGTAATGCAGATGACAGTGCCCTGTTAGTGTCAGGTAAAGACCCACAAGATATTGCTAATGTTTTTAAACACTGGAACTGGAGTCCTGCACAAATGGTTAGTAGACAACAAACAATCATTACACCTAGGAAAACTGAAGCCATTTCTTTGGCACGAAACATAAACGAGAAGGGTAAAAATTTTTAATGTTCAGTGTAATGGGGAGCCCATCACTTTGGTTTCATCAGTAAAATATCTGGGAATCCCCTTTGACCCAGCATGTCAGGAGAATTGATAGGGAACAATGTAGTAAAGAAAGCGAATGCCAGACTGAAGTTCCTGTATAGACAAGCACAGGGGTCTACCTACTAAGGCTCGCAGGACCCAATGTCCCAGCCCTTATACAAAGCCATATGGATTTACGCTTGCTCTTCATGGGACTCTGCCTTGACAATAAACCCGAAAGATAGACTGCAAATCACCCAGAACAAAATCGTAAGATTCATCCTGGGGCTGGGACCAAGAGAACATGTAGGCCAGAATGAATTACCAGCAGTTGGATATGCTGAATGTTGAAGACAGAGTAAAACAACTAAAGCTAAATCATGTTTATAAAATTGCTCAACAACAAATGTCCAGAATATCTTTCTGTCAAATTTTGTAAAGGTTGGGAACCAAAGCAACCATAGTACTAGGGGAAGGAGCACAACTTTGTAGTACCCCCAGTCATGGCCAGGCTTCAAACACCTTTTATTTGGGCAGCAATAAAGGGGAAAGGAACAGACGCCCGCACATGTCAAAGCCAGTTTATAGCATGAACTAGTTTTAAGAAGAGTGCCAAAAGGTGTCTGAGAAATGTACTACAGAAAGGAGGGGAATGATTTTCTATTTTTTTAGCTAACATACGTGTAAATTTTACCTTAGTCCTAGTAATGACCCTCGTATTGTAGATAGTCTTAATGACCCTCGTGTAGTAGATAGTCTTTTTAGTATGATAATAAGATGTTATCTTCATTGTAGAATAACAAGAAAATATTATAACCTTTATATTATAATAATAAGGTAAAAGGACCCCAATGGAAATAAGTCACTGTGTCTGACTTTTTTGGGTTATCTTAGGTTCTCTACACATATGCTGCTATGTATGATAATTCTACGTAACTGTATTTGTGTATACCTGAATAAACTTACTTACTTACTTAACGATGTAATCATAAAAATACTAGATCTGCTTTACACAGCATTGGAAAATAAGGAATATCCACTAGGAATTTTTATTGACCTAAGAAAAGCTTTTAATACAGTAGACCACGGCATCCTACTCCACAAACTTGACCATTATGGTATAAGAGGCCATGCGCTTGCATATTTCAAATCTTACCTTACTAATAGGTATTAGTATGTCTTCATTAAAGACACAGCATCAACAACACAGCCACTTGATACTGGAGTTCCGCAGGGAAGTGTCCTTGGTCCCCTGCTCTTCCTCATTTACATCAATGATCTTCCAAACGTATCTCAACACCTGAAACCCATTCTCTTTGCTGACGACACGACTTATGTCATCTCTCACCCTAATCTTGCCACCCTCAACACCATTGTTAATGAGGAGCTGATCAAAATATCGACTTGGATGACAGCCAATAAACTTACGCTTAACACTTACAAAACCTACTACATTATGTATGGTAGCAGAGCAGGAGATGCGCAAATTAACATTAAGATCGACAACATTCTAATTGCCAGGCATAATGAGGGCAAATTCCTAGGCCTATACCTCGACAACAACCTGAACTTCAGCACCCATATCCAACACATAATCAAAAAAGTATCCAAAAGGGTTGGGATCCTCTCCAAGATACGATACTACGTACCGCAAACTGCCCTTCTCACACTATACCATTCACTTATATATCCATACCTCACCTATGCTATCTGTACTTGGGGTTCAACTGCAGCAACACACCTAAAGCCAATAATAACCCAACAAAAAGCCGCAGTAAGAATAATCACTAAATCCCATCCCTGGCAACACCCCCCCCCCACTCTTCATAGATCTAAACTTACTCCCTGTTCAGTACATCCACACTTACTACTGTGCAATCTACTTCTTCAGGACCTTAAATTCCAATATTAACCTTGACCTAAAACGCTTTCTTGATGGTTGCGACAGAACCCACAGGCATAACACCAGACACAAACATATCTATGACATTCCCTTTGTCTGACTAAACCTTTACAAAAATTCAATGTATGTCAAAGGCCCTAAAATCTGGAACACCCTACCTGAAAATTCTAAAACTGCAGACACATTCATCACCTTCAAAACTACCATCAGAAAACATCTTATCTCCCTGATACACCCTGTCAAGTAATTACACGAATACCACCCGGTGGTTAACACTTACACTCACTCACCCATTTGACCATAAACAGAAATATCAATCTCAATCTCAAAATAATGAATCTTAACTAGCCATAAGTTAGCCTGTGATACTCCAATACTGAAACTATGTATAGTGCCAAAACAAAAGCATTCCCATTGCTAAACTCACAAACTAGTATTTAGTCACTTAGCCATAATACCAACTTACCTCATAATTTTGTAATATTTTAAACTTGAGATTTAATTTAAGTCTGCCCGAAATGCCTAGCCATGCTAGGTGTTCTAGTGGTACACTCTGTAATTATTATTTTACTACATGTAAACCACACAATAACCAAATTCTGTAAACTCAGCATTGTAATCTTTATAGAGAATAAACTTTGAATAATAAACATATTAAACTAACTAACTTGTACGCTATTAATAACACCATGGTCACACTTGTCAAAGGCTTTTGCAAAGTCTGTATATTAAATCAGCAATATAATTATCTTCTGAAGCATCTAGGACCTTGTCATAGTGGACAAGTAATTGGAACAGACAGGAGCAACCTGCTCTAAACCCGTGCTACCCTGGGTTGTGTAACTGATGGGTATCTAGATGAGTGGTGATCTTGCTTCTTAGAACCCTTTCAAAGATTTTTTTTGATATAGGATGTTAGCGCTATCGGTCTGTAATTCTTTGCTATTGCTTTACTGCCCCCTTTGTGGAGTGGGGCTATGTCTGTTGTTTTTAGTAGCTGTGGAACGACCCCTGTGTCCATGCTCCCTCTCCATAGGATGTTAAAAGCACGTGATAGGAGCTTCTTGCAGTTCTTGATGAACACGGAGCTCCATGAGTCTGCTCCTGGGGCAGAGTGCATAGGCATGTCATTTGTCGCCTTTTCCAAGTCATTTGGCGTCAGGATAATATCAGACAAGTGTGTGTATACCAAATTCTGTGTCTCATAAAAAATCATTTAGGTCTTCGACTCTCAGTCTGGTTAGCTATGTCTGAAAATTCCTTACACTGGTTGTCCATGTTCAGTAATAATGGGTAGCTGGGTGTTAGTAGACTGGTGTGGGTCACATCCTTGGACAAAACTGACCTAATTTGCCCGAAATCCTCAGCATAACAAACACCTTCCTGTATTGTAGTATGTCATTGATGTCAACTAGGTATATCTTGTACATTTACTTGTAGTAAATAAAGATATTATCATTATTAATGTATCCTTAATTATATTTTTATATTGGTACTGAATACCTTCAGTATAATCTCAACTATGTATTCCTTTTTTCTTCTGTTATATGTGTGTGTCTGTCTAATAATTATAACTTAGCTTTAAGGCTGGCCGAAATGCTTTGCATAACCTGGGGCTATCTATAAAGTAACTTATACATGTCCGTAAATACCTTTGTAACTTGTCATGATTGTGACCAGATCTACCTGAAGTTCATTACCTTTGTAACTTGCTCAGCTATCAAACTTTGGGACCCAGCCCCTGGACCCACTATGTACCTCTGTAATGACTCAAGAAATCGTAATGACACGATTGCAAACAAACCATACCCCCGGCCGGGGGTATGGTTTGTTTGCAATCGTGTCATTACGATTTCTTAAGTCATGTTGACGGCAGTGAAGGGACTTGAGCTAGAGTTCGTCACGGCCACGCTAGCTGGAGATTCGTCTGTAAAAACTTGCATTTGTGGTCACAGTGGTGCCTGTGCTAACTTTCCTATGGTGTAGAAATATACCTAGTTGGATGAATCTTATTGTGGCTAGCTGGTCTAGTGGCTAACGCGACGGGCTGGAGTTTTGAGACTCTATGACCGCGGGTTCAATCCCGGCCGGGGGTATGGTTTACCTCTATATTCTTGTGACTACCGCCCATGGAATGGGTATGGGGTGCATAATAAACATATTAAAATAACTAAAAACATATCAGTTACCCTAATTGTACACTGTACAGTGCTTCACTATATAGAAATATAGTTGTGTTCAATTGTTTGGGCTGGTGTCACAACTGCATTCATGGCGCTAGTGGTGCTGGTCCTCCACCAGCTGGTACCGGGTTCATGAAGGTGTCACAACTGGAGTTCATGGCAGTGTTCGTGCGGTTACTCCAACAACTCCCCTCAAGGAAGGTTCCTTGATGTTGGTGAGGGGCTCTTGATTTAGAGAATTGGATCTGTGCTCCAGTTCCCCGAATTAAGCCTGAATGCCTTCCACATCCCCCCCCCCCAGGCGCTGTATAATCCTCCGGGTTTAGCGCTTCCCCCTTGATTATAATAATAATAATAATACTCCAACAACTGGTACCGGGTTCATTAAGCTGGTGTCACAACTGGTGTTCATGGCAGTGTTCGTGCGGCTCCTCCACCAGCACCAGCCCATCATCCAAACAATAATAACAACTTTCTTTGTGCTTGTGGCAGTGAAATACTCTCGGTGAGTTCATTACATCTTTATGTATTAATGGGAACTTAGTTTAATATCTATAACATACCAAAAACATATCATTAATGCTGAAGTGAAAATAATTACACTACAAAATGTATATTGTAATTCCACTGTATTAAACGCTGTTTAATACGTTTATTCGTTGCTGTTCCTTATATTGTTCAGTTTTAGTGTTCAAGTTATTAATTACATGAACCATCAAATATGAACAAGTAGTGAACATGTGGTGAATGTGTTGATAGTAAGACTTGTAGCAGCAACATATGTTTCAGGTTTTTTTTTTGGGTGGAATTGGACAGCGTTGCGAGGGTCAACGTCCCCGCCTGACCTGGCTCCAGACCTGGCCCCAGACCTGGCTCCAGACCTGGCTCCAGACCTGGCTCCAGACCTGGCCCCAGACCTGGCTCCAGACCTGGCTCCAGACCTGGCTCCAGACCTGGCTCCAGACCTGGCTCCAGACCTGGCTCCAGACCTGGCTCCAGACCTGGCTCCAGACCTGGCTCCAGACCTGGCTCCAGACCTGGCCCTAGACCTGGCCTTAGACCTGGCTCCAGACCTGGCCCTAGACCTGGCTCCAGACCTGGCTCCAGACCTGGCCCAAGACCTGGCTCCAGACCTGGCTCCAGACCTGGCTCCAGACCTGGCCCTAGACCTGGCTCTAGACCTGGCTCCAGACCTGGCCCTAGACCTGGCTCCAGACCTGGCTCCAGACCTGGCCCAAGACCTGGCTCCAGACCTGGCTCCAGACCTGGCTCCATACCTGGCTCCAGACCTGGCTCCAGACCTGGCCCTAGACCTGGCTCCAGACCTGGCTCCAGACCTGGCTCCAGACCTGGCCCTAGACCTGGCTCCAGACCTGGCTCCAGACCTGGCTCCAGACCTGGCCCCAGACCTAGCTCCAGACCTGGCTCCAGACCTGGCCCTAGACCTGGCTCCAGACCTGGCCCCAGACCTGGCTCCAGACCTGGCTCTAGACCTGGCTCCAGACCTGGCCCAAGACCTGGCTCCAGACCTGGCTCCAGACTTGGCTCTAGACCTGGCTCCAGACCTGGCCCAAGACCTAGCTCCAGACCTGGCCCAAGACCTGGCTCCTGACCTGTCTCCAGACCTGGCTCCAGACCTACCCCCAAGACGGCTCCAGACCTGGCCCTAGACCTGGCTCCAGACCTGGCCCCAGACCTGGCTCAAGACCTGGCCCCAGACCTGGCACTAGGCCTGGCTCCAGACCTGACCCTAGACCTGACTCCAGACCTGGCCCTAAACCTGGCTCCAGATTTGGCTCCAGACTTGGCTCCAGACCTGGCTCCAGACCTGGCCCCCAGACCTGGCTCCAGACTTGACTCCAGACCTGGCCCCAGACCTGCCTCCAGACCTGGCCCTAGACCTGGCTCCAGACTTGGCTCCAGACCTTGTCCCAGACCTGGCCCCTGACCTGGTGCAAGACCTGGCTCCAGACCTGGCTCCAGACCTGGCAGCAGACCTGGCTCCAGACCTGGCAGCAGACCTGGCTCCAGACCTGGCTCCAGACCTTGCCCTAGACCTGGCTCCAGACCTAGCTCCAGACCTGGCCCCAGACCTGGCTCTAGACCTGACTCTAGATCTGGCTCCAGACCTGGCTCCAGACCTGGCCCTAGACCTGGCTCCAAACCTGGCTCCAGACCTGGCCCTACACCTGGCCCCAGACCTGTCCTTAGACCTGGCCCCAGACTAGGCTTCAGACCTGGCTATAGACCTGGCTCTAGACCTGGCCCTAGACAGCTCTAGACCTGGTCCCAGACCTGGCCCTAGACCTGGATCCTGACCTGGCCCTAGACCTGGCTTCAGACCTGGCCCTAGCCTGGCCCTAGATCTGACTCTAGACCTGGCCCTAGCCTGGCCCTAGATCTGACTCTAGACCTGGCCCCAGACCTGGTCCCAGACCTGGCCCCAGACCTGGCCCCAGACCTGGCCCCAGACCTGGCCCCAAACCTGGCCCCAGACCTGGCCCCAGACTTGGCCCCAGACCTTGCCCCAGACCTTACCCCAGACCTTGGCCCAGACCTGGCCCCAGACCTGGCCCCAGACCTGGCCCCATACCTGGCCCTAGACCTGGTTCCAGACCTGGATCCACACTTGGCCTCAGACCTGCCTCTAGGCCTGGCCCCATACCTGACCCAAGACCTGGTTCCAGACCTGGATCCAGACTTGGCCTCAGACCTGGCTCTAGACCTGGCCTCAGGCCTGGCCCCAGACCTGGCCCCAGACCTGCCTCTAGACCTAGCCTCAGGCCTGGCTCTAGACTTGGCCCCAGATCTTGCCCTAGACCTGGCCCCAGACCTGGCCCTAAAACTGGCCTCAGACCTGTCTCCAGACCTGGTCCTATACCTGAATCTAGACCTTGCTCTAGACCTAGCCCTAGACCTGGCCCCAGACCTGGCCCCAGACTTGGCCCTTGACCTGGCCCCAGACCTGTCCACAGACCTGGTCCCAGACCTGGCCCTAGACCTTGGTCCAGACCACTCCCTAGACCTGGCCCAAGACTTGGCCCTAGACCTGGCCCCCGACCTGGCCCCAGACATGGCCTTAGACCTGGCTCCAGACCTGGCCCCAGACCTTGCCATAGACCTGGCCCCAGACCTGGCCCTAGACCTGGCCCCATACCTGACCCAAGACCTGGTTCCAGACTTGGCCTCAGACCTGGCTCTAGACCTGGCCTCAGGCCTGGCCCCAGACCTGGCCCTAGACCTGGCTCTAGACCTAGCCTCAGGCCTGGCTCTAGACTTGGCCCCAGATCTTGCCCTAGACCTGGTCCCAGACCTGGCCCTAAAACTGGCCTCAGACCTGTCTCCAGACCTGGCCCTATACCTGAATCTAGACCTTGCTCTAGACCTAGCCCTAGACCTGGCCCCAGACCTGGCCCCAGACTTGGCCCTTGACCTGGCCCCAGACCTGTCCTCAGACCTGTCCACAGACCTGGTCCCAGACCTGGCCCTAGACTTTGATCCAGACCACTCCCTAGACCTGGCCCCAGACTTGGCCCTAGATCTGGCCCCAGACATGGCCTTAGACCTGGCTCCAGACCTGGCTTCAGACCTGGCCCCAGACCTTGCCATAGACCTGGCCCCAGACCTGACTCTAGACCTGGCCCTAGATCTGAATCCATACCTGGCTCCAGACCTGGCTCTAGACCTGGCTCCAGACTTGGCCCCAGACCTGACCCTAGACCTGGCCCCAGACTTAGCTCTAGACATGGTACCAGAACTGGCCCCAGAGATGACTCCAGAATTGACCCCAGACCTGGCCCCAGACCTAGCCCTATTCCTGGCCCCAGATATGGCTGCAGAACTGACCCCAGACCTGGCTCCAGACCTGGCTCTAGAGCTGGCTCCAGACCTGTCCCTAGAGCTGGCCCCAGACCTGTCCCTAGAGCTGGCCCCAGACCTGTCCCTAGACATGGCTCCCAAACTGGCCCCAGACCTGTCCCTAGAGCTGGCCCCAGACCTGTCCTTAGACATGGCTCCCAAATTGGCCTCAGACCTGGCCCCGACCTGGCCTTCCAATGGATGACCTGACCAGCGAAGCTGTTGGTGCTAGTTTCAGCAAGTCCAGCTTATGTACTGCAGTCCTTCTGATCAGCACCTGACTTGAATTTATGTTCCCTCTTACACAAATAACCTGCACGTAGGAGAATGAAACTTATGGCAACGTTTCGGTCAGTCTTTGACCATTAACTTCAAGTTTCTTCTTGAAGGCAACCAAGAGTCTCTTGGAAATCCTCTTTATGTATGAAGAGAGGGTGTTGATGTCTTGGTCCCCTCACACTTAAAGAGTTTTAGTGTACTCATTGTGTCATACTTTTCAATGAGTATTTTCAGTGTTTTTTTTTTCACTGGGGGTATTTTCAGTGTTTTTTTTTCCACTGGTTTTAGAGCAGGACGATCATGTCTGTCACAGCTGCTGAGCCATTATGACAGAATTACGGAGGCACTGGAAGACGACCAAAACGCAGATGTGATTTACACAGATTTTGCAAAGGCATTTGACAAATGCGGTCATGGAGTGATAGCGCACAAAATGAAGGCCATGGGCATTACAGGGAAGGTAGGCAGATGCATTTTCGGTTTCCTAACACACACAACACAAAAAGCAGTAGTGAATAGGGCAAGATCCAGCATCAACGAGGTCAAAAGGTGGTGCCAGGACAGGGCACTGTCCTGGCACCTCTGCTGTTCCTCATCCTCATAGCAGACATAGACAAAAACACCCGGCACACTTTTGTATCATCATTTGCAAATGACACTAAAATAAGCATGGAAGTCAGTACGGTAGAGGACACTGAAAAAGTACAGGAAGACATAAACAGGTTTTTCCAGTGGGCAGTGGAGAACAACATTACGTTCATTGGTGATAAGTTCCAGCTGCTTAGGTATGGAAAGAATGAAGAAAAAAGGAGCACTATATACAAAACTCAAGAGGGTCACCAAATAGAATGTAAGGAACACGTAAAAGACCTAGGAATAATTATGTCAGCGGACCTTTCTTTTAAAGACCATAACAAGACAAAGATCACGACAGCCAGGAAGATGACAGGGTGGGTATTGAGAACTTTCAAAACAAGGGAAATAATGCTGATGGTGACACTCTTCAAATCGCTAGTGCTCCCTCACTTAGAATATTGCTCAGTGCTGACGGCCCCGTTCAAGGCAGGAGAAATATCGGAGCTGGAACAAATACAGAGATCATTTACGGCTCACATTGAGCCAATAAAGCACCTAAACTACTGGGAACGCCTGCAAGTCTTGAGCATGTACTCATTGGAGCGGAGGAGATAATATATACCTGGAAGGTACTCGAGGGCCTGGTCCCAAATCTGCACTCTGCCATAACAACATACTGGAGTGAGAGTTATGGAAGGAAGTGTAAATAAAAATAAACCCAGTGAGGAGCAGGGGTGCATTGGGAACAATAAGGGAATACTGTATCAACATCCGGGGTCCCAGACTTTTCAA